AAGAAATTTGCCAAGAGGTAAGTCATCATCTTAAAACTTCTACTGTTATATGATGTTATTGTAGTGATCTAGTTTGTTACCATATGGTAAAATATGGTAAGATATGGTAAAATTAGACAAATCTATGGTTTAATGTTACAAAATGTAGTAATGCACAAGTCCTGTTTTGTTTTAGTTTAATACCATATGGTATGATGTGGTAAGCTAATGTTTGTTGTTAAAGAATGAATTAAACCATAACTCCTGTTCTATTTTACTTATTACCATATGGTAAAATGTGGTAAGCTGGTGTGTTTCACTTATTACCATATGGTAAGATGTGGTAAGCTGGTGTGTTTTACTTATTACCATATGGTAAAATGTGGTAAGCTGGTGTGTTTTACTTATTACCATATGGTAAGATGTGCTAAGCTGGTGTGCTTTACTTATTACCATATGATAAGATGTGGTAAGCTATGGTTTTGTTGTGGTAACCTATTGTTTGATGTGATGAATTAAAATAAACCATCCGTCCTGTTGTGATGTGCTTGTATACAGTGATGAGATCATGTTTAAAAGGAAGGATGGAACATTCATGCTGAAAAGGGAGTCAGTACAGTCGATTGACATTGGCTGTGAAATCACATCTGATGTCATCGGCTGGTATGGAGATGTAATGAACAGGAATGAAGCAAAAAAAGGAAAATTCACAAGGTGGTTCTTCGATACATCTTTGGCAGTAAGTAAACCCACTCATATTCTGTCAAAAGTTCTTAGACAACACATATATAAAACACATAATAACAACCACAACTTTCAGGGTGACTGCCAACTGGACATTGATAGTGGCAACTATCTCCAGACGATTACTACGACAAAGTGGACTTGGACATCACCAACAAAGAATGGGCCAAAAACCTCAGCTTCACAGAATGTAACCTTGTAAGTATCTCACCACAATTTTTGCAGTGGTTACCATATGGTATATAGTGGTAAAATTAGTTTCCAATTGTTCTTAACTTAACTTACTGTACATCACTTATATGGCAACTGCTTACCATATGGTATACTGTGGTAAAATTATTTTGCAGTGGTTCTTCCCGTACTGTAATAACAAGCACTACATCATGATTTGTGTCAACATCAAAGCAGAGAGATTTGAAGTGCTCGACAGTCTCCATCACAAAGATTTTGAAAAAACATACAAATCAATGGCAGAGAGGGTTGTCCAGTACGCAATCAACTACATGAAGACACAGTTTGCAGACAGGACAGTAAGGTGGGAGAGGTTTAGCTGGTTCAAGCTCGAGAAGGTTACACAACCAGATCAAATTTCATGTGGGATGTACGTCATCAGGTGGATGAGACACTGGGAAGGTAAGTACAACAGTGCCCTGACCAAAGATTGGAAGAGGATTGATCTCATAAATGAAGAAAGGGAGTGCCTGATGTTGGACATCATTCTTGATGAAGAAAATCTTGAACGGGAAAGGATCATGAAAGAAGCAACAAAGTACTGCAACATGAAGAACAAGAAGAAAGAGTTGAAAGGAAGGAAATGAAAATTCTATTATCGTTTGTGTTAAGTAGTAGGAGGGTATGAGTAAGCTTTTGAGAACAAACTCACAATGTTCAGTAGCCACTTCATTTTAATTAGTAGGATGGTATGAAACAACTTATTATGGTTTGTATTATGACTAAAAGAAATGTTCTGTTTTTTATTATGTTAGCAAATACTTAACATGTGTTCTTAATTCCCAAATTACCACATTTTACCATATGGTAATGTGTGGTAAATTATGATTACATGTTGTGTTTTGCTTCGTTACCATATGGTAATGTGTGGTAAATTATGGTTTCATGTTGTAAAATAGCAAAAAACCATATGTCCAGCTGTCTTTTAGTTTGTTACCATATGGTAATGTATGGTACATTATGGTTTCATGTTGTAAATAAGCAAAAAACCATAAGTCCTGCTGTGTTTTAGTTTGTTACCATATGGTAATGTGTGGTAAACTATGGTTTCATGTAGTAAAATGTTGCAAAATAGCAAAAAACCATAAGTCATGCTGTGTTTTAGTTTGTTACCATATGGTAATGTGTGGTAAACTATGGTTTCATGTTGTAAAATAGCAAAAAAACCATAAGTCCTGCTGTGTTTTAGTTTGTTACCACATTTTACCACATGGTAATGCACTGTAAAATCAATTACCACACATACCACTTCCAAAAAATCATATTTTACCACATGGTAAAATCAATTACCACACATTACCACATGGTAAAATCAAATTACCATAATATACCATATGGTATGGCATGGTAAAATCAATTATAAAACAGAACCTTCACATTCAACTTCCAAACTAGCACATTTTACCACCTGGTTTGACATGATAAAATCAAATTACCATATTATATCACATGGTATAACAGTGTAAAATTAATCCAACAAAACCAAAAACCCATCCAAAAGAACAAAATAGCTTCAACAACTCAACCAGCATCAACCATTCATTCAGATAATCCTCTAAGAAAACTATTACAGCTTCAGCCTTAAACTTTCTTCAACAGCCTTCAAATTCTCCTCCTCAAGCCTGCTAGTTTTTCTCTTCTTCTTGCTTACAGCCCTTGCAGCCTCCGCAGCTGGAATTGGTCGTTTCGAAGGCTTGAATGAATCTTTTTTAGGCTTAAACCCCTTCACTTTTTGGACCGGTACATCATCTATACCAAGATAACAAAAACAAACTACAATCAATGACAGATAACAAAAACAAAAACAAACTCTAAACAATTAAAAAAAACTTACTGTCACCGTTAGAAGACGTGCTTGTTCCAGCAGGTTCAGTAATCGATAGGGCTTCACACTTTTTGATCAAATCAGTCATGAAGGCCATGGCTGATTTATACAAATCATCATCCAATGCAACCCTGCTGATCATTGATGCAGAAACAGCTGACAGATTGAAAAGACGAGAACGGTATTTCGATGGACTATCAGTAGACGGAACTTCAAAAGAAAAGTTCCCTCCAGTTTTCGCTGCCCTTGTCCACCGCTTCAAAATCAAACTGCTAGGAATGTGCTGGAACTTCAGATTGCACGTTGTAGACCACAACATATCATATCCCTTAATTTGATGCTTACAGATCATACCACTTGACTCCCACTTACGGCACGAACACTTGATTTCACCGTTTTCAAAATCAACCTTCAACACCCTACTATCCAACCTTGTAAGGTCATCCTCCAATATGAAGACATCAAACAGTCCTACATGTCCTTCTGGTTCTATCTCCGTATTGGAAAAAATATTATACGCAAGGGATTCCTTGTACTGATCCAGGAAAAACTTGAATATCTTCGGCGTATACACATTAGCAACTTGCTTCACAATAGGGCTAGTAGAAAACCGAGAATCAGCCAACCTAGATAACGCATAGTACTCTTCTTGTTCTTCAGCATCCCTCTTATTATCAAGCATCCTCTCAAAGTGCACAAAGAACCTACTAACACTAAACTCTGACTGCAAGTAATGTCGAATATTACTATTGCAGCACTCACTTAGCTGGGTACTCTTCATTCCCGCACCAAAATGACAATTCACCCAGGCTGAAGACCACTTCGTCCTGACTTTGTAAATGCCCTGTAACCAACTGTGTCCCAAAGGTCCCTTCCCAGGAAAACACTTCTCAATCATCTTCTTCCAATTATACTCAAAATCATCCTCATCATCAGCATTATACATCAAATAACTAAGCTCACGAAGGAAGTCAGAGTCACACAAACTTCCCAGATTAACAACTGCATTCTGAGCAATATGCCATGTACACAACCCATGAAAACAATCTGGGAAAACAGACCTTATACCAGCAGCAATTGCAGCAGCCTGGTCAGTAAACATTGATAACGGTCTCACACCTCCCATGCATTTCAAAAACTGATCGAAAATCCATTCAAATGTTGCTGTTGTTTCATCATAGAGAAGAGCAGCCGCAAAGACAGTCAGTTGGTGATGATTGTTGAAACCAACAAACAAAGCTACATAAACATAACAAAATGTGAGTAAAAACAATTCTACCAACACATACCATGTGGTAAAAGGTACGAATAACAATAATACCAACCCATACCATATGGTAAAGACTCATACCATGTGGTAAAGACTTCTAAGAACAAAAAAAAAACAATCCACAGCAGACTACCATATAGTACACACTTCTAACAACGCAAAAAACACCACAAAAAACCTTGTTACCAACCCATACCATATGGTAAAAAACTTTTAAGCACAAAAACCACCTCAAATAACCTTGTTACCAACACATACCATATGGTAAAATACTTTTAAGAACAAAAACCACCTCAAATAACCTTGTTACCAACACATACCATATGGTAAAAGACTTCTAAGCACAAAAACCACCTCAAATAACCTTATTACCAACACATACCATATGGTAAAATACATTTAAGAACAAAAAAAAAAACATGATACAGAATGATAATAATAATACTCATACAAACTAACAAACACAATAATAAACAACAAACTAGAAAACATACCTAGTGGCCGATACTCTTTGTTAGTCCGGTAAGTAGTATCAAAACTAATTGAATCACCAAAATAATGATAATCCATCCTCATCTTCCCATCTGCCCAAAAAATACTAGCAATGTTCTCTTCAACATCAACCTCCACCTCATGAAAGAACCCAGGATCCAGCTGTGCTTGACGTCTAAAGTATTCAAGCAATGCAGTCGCATCACCATACTCCATTGATGACGTCCTAACCGTTCGCAGATGGTTCTTCAAATCATTCTTTGTGAACCCAACAAACTTCCTACCACCACCAGCCCTACTAATTGCATTATACGAAGAAGTCACACCAATACCAGCAGTATCATTCACCTCTGCCAGCATCTTATACACAGGAGCCATTCGTCTGCTGGATCTCACATAGTGACGCAGAGACTCAGGAATCATGTCATGGTTGTGCACATTATACCAATGATAGATCTTGTAGCATTTAAACTCTTTAAACCACCTCAGTCGTATATAAGCACCATTACATCCACCCCTGAGTTCTGGAACATTACGAACACGAACTGTCGTATCAACAACACCTGCATTATCAGGGTTATTCTCGCTACCTCTTTTCCAACCTTCCTTATTGCAACAATACTTGATATAATATACAGCTGAAGAACCACCATTGAGTTTCGGACACGCTGATTGGTTATAAATCCTCACACCAAAACCTTCATGATTCCCATAATCAACATAAAAATTATATGCATCATCTGGTGTATTGAACTCTAAGTCCTTCCAAGAATCACGAACAGTAGGATCTATACCATTGAAACCTACAAACATTATGAAACAACATATTAAATGGATTCCACACCACAACAATATGAAATATCAATGTATACCAATAATTACAGCCATGATACACGAGTTACCACCATAGTATGGCATGGTAAAATCAAACTACAACACTATACCACATGGTATGGCATGGTAAAATCAATTATCACACACAACCCTCACATTTAACTTCCTAATTACCACATTTTACCACATGGTAATGTACTGTAAAATCAATTACCACATGATAAAGGCATGGTAAAATCAAATTACCACCCTATACCATATGGTATGGCATGGTAAAATCAAACTACCACACTATACAACATGGTATGGCATGGTAAAATCAAATTACCACACTATACCATATGGTATGGCATGGTAAAATCAACTATCACACAGAATCCTCAAGTTTAACTTCCTAATTACCACATTTTACCACATGGTAATCTACTGTAAAATCAATTACCACATGATAAGGCATGGTAAAATCAAATTACCACACTATACCATATGGTATGGCATGGTAAAATCAATTATCACACAGAAACATCACATTTAACTTCCTAATTACCACATTTTACCACATGATAATGTACTATAAAATCAATTACCACATGATAAGGCATAGTAAAATCAAATTACGACACTATACAAACTTCAATAAACAAACAAATTTGCATATCTTACCTCCTGATTCACCAGAGTTAGCTGAATGATCAAATCCAAGATCAATAGATGAAGAAGCAGTTCCAACAGCACTAGATGAAGAACCAGATCCTACAACGCTGGTTGAAGAACCAGATCTATCAATTGGAACAACATCGCCACAACTTACGTTACTCATCTCACCAGAATACTGCCAAAACACCAAAACACAAAGAACATAACACATGAACAAGCTCGATTAGCTAAACATAAACAAGCTCGACTAGCAGCAATCAAAAACCTCCAACGAAACCAGAGATCAACAGAAAACTCGATTAGCTAAACAGAAAGAATCAAAAAAACTAATATCTAACCTCGTCGTCGATCAATTATGGAGAATCAGAAAAGATTCGCCGTCCCCTGTTTCGCAGCCGCTGCTCGCAATTTCTCTCTACAAAAACCGAATCCAACTCGCGCACACGTCGATCAATTATGGAGAATCAGAAAGCTCGATTCGAAGCTGCTGCTCGCAGTTTCTATCGCCGTCGATCAACAATGGAGAATCGCCGTCCTTATTTCTCAGCTGCTGCTCCCCCTGCTCGTAGTTTCTCTCTCCAAAATCCGAATCCAACTCGCGCACAGAAAAGATTTGCAACGGACAAAGAGGGAAAGTCATTTAATTCAAATATAAAATATCGGACAAAAATGCCCCTGACCGTGGACAAAAAACCCCGCATCAATCACAGCCACAAGATCCGTCCCGCCAAGATCGACGGTCCCTATGTGGTTACTCACGGGTGAGTAACAAAGGGTTACTCACCCTATCCTAAGCCAAGTGCATGGCGTGGTTTTGGATTCTTATCTCCGTATATTGCTTCATTTATTTATTGTTAATTAATAAATCCTTAGTCGATTTTGGCAAAGAAAAAGTCTCCGGCGACAGGTCTGGTGTCGACAATCGCACGTCAGCCAATGGTCTGAACCACCACCAGCGAGCCTCACCTCAATCCTATGGCCAGAACCAGCAGCAGCCAGCGAAACCCATGGGGATTTTTTTTTTATGTTTTCGTCGGCAAATTCGTTCTTCCCCAATTTGTCGTTGAAGTGTTTGGTAAGTTTTCCATAAAAAGGTCAAAATTATCATTTTGTCTAAAATTGTGGGCGGTAAATAGTAATGCATCGGGCAGATATTCTCAGTCAATGTTAGCGAACTAACCACTTGGTTCCAATAACTCGAGTTGTTGGGAAAGGGATAGTTAAGCCTTTTAACCTCTAATACGTCCCCTCAAACGAAAGCCGATGCCGAATTGTGGATTTTTACGGTTTGCACAGGTTGAACCCTTGTGCTGCCAAACCACGAGGCTTTAGTTTGCACAGGTTGGACATACCATTCCTTGTTCTAAACGAATTGGCATGAAATGGGGGTTGTTATGAGGATTCGAAACCATGACCTTTTCGGTTCTAGGCTCTGATACCATGTTAGCGAACTAACCACTTGGTCCCAATAACTCAAGTTGTTGGGAAAGGGATAGTTAAGCCTTTTAACCTCTAATAGTCAACAAATTGCAAAAGAAGCAGAAAGCTTCTCTTCCCAAGTTCCCGTTTACTTCCAACAACTTCTTAACGTACAAAGCTGATCATACTCAAAAAGACATCGGCTACAGCCAGCCCAACCCAGTTATAGCGTTAGGTATATATATATATGTCTTGCCTCCTGAGTCCCGCCTAGTAAACCCTCCTATGATCATTCTCGCCCCGGATAACCAGATGCAAGTGTCTTGATCAGCTGGCGCAAGCAGCTCTCCTTCAGCTGCTTGAAACCTTCCGACTGCGTCATCTCCGCCACGTTCGCTGGATGCGCAGCAAATCTCAAGCAGATAGCTTTGAGCTGCGAACAGTGATGCTGGTCAGCCAATGCCAGTGTGGTGGCCACTGATGCGGCCGTAAGCTCCTCGCACAGCTTCGATTCGCAGAACGCCTTCAGTCGGTCTAAGTCGTACCAGTCGGCGGCAACTAACAAATGCTGCATCACGTTCGTAGCCTCCGTCGACATGGATGAATACGTCGACGGCGAGCCCATGATCTCATGCACATCGGGTAGTTCGTCTGTGTATATGAATTGGAGCATCGCCTGCAAAGAGAGACCACATACGCAAAATCCAAAATTACGAGTTGTTATTTTGTCTGTTTTCAGAACCGACCGGAAAAGTTAGTGGTTTAGGGTTCAATAATTAAAATGAAAAGACGTATATAAAATAAATAATCATGCCTTGATGGTTTTAGTTTATGTTAAAGTATTTTTTTAAAAGCTTTTGTACTTAAAATAGTTAACTAGTGGACTAGTTAAACCACAATGGTTCATCTGGTTTTATTTGAGTTGTGAAAAATTGTTTGATCCATCAATAACCGTCCAAACAATGAACCGGACAACTATTATAGCTAGTTAGATGGTTGGGCCCGACCTCGATAGGCATTTTGACGACTCACAGAACTTACTAAAGTTGAGTTCTCTCTTCACTTAAGAAGATTGAGATCTCCGACAATGTATATCCTTTTTGCACTTTCTGCCTTTACTTTGACTCAATGATTCAATCTCATTTTTATCTTAGGGTAAAAGAGCGATGACAGTTGTCTCAGTCTTCCTAAGAAAGTTAGTTAGCATAGGGCACGCCAACCGACTTAGATGCATCTATCTTTCTCTCTTGTACGATCTTTTTTCTTCCTTGCTGCTGACGTCTCTACTTTCTAAGACCAGACGTCGATAAGGCTAGCAGACTGGCCCAACCATTGATCTGGTTCCATTCTTATAACAATACTTATTTTATACTACGACTACTATTATGTAATTTGAAAAAAGTTATATTCTTTATCAGAGTCGTAGAAGTTAGGTAATTTTTGTATTAGTGTTGGGGTATTCATGAATTTTAAATAGAGTGTCCTCTAAAAAAAATTACCCGACTAGTATATAGCAAAAAAATACATATTAGTACAAGTTGCAACAAAAATCCACGACGTGTTTTCCTATTCTTAACAAATTGTAAAATACACTTAGTGTCTACAGTGTACAACAAATCTCTTTTAATATATCCTACAAGCAGACAATCATTCGCGGACTGATCTCCTATTCGATTGATTTTGGGTGGAATAAGGGGTGTCCCTATAGGCGACAATTAGTTTTCAGTTGTTTAGCAAATTTAGGATTAAGCACTTAAATGTGTGTTACTTAAACACTAGCAATTGCATTGTGCTTGCTAAGTTCCAATCACATTAACTACACTTACTTTTTTTCCCTATACACGCGCAAACTACTATCAGGGGTTTATTAATTATATCCCGAACACTGCTAAACCTCCATGTATCCGCTCCCTGATACTACTCGTACTACCCATACTCTCTAATACAAACAAGCGATAACATGCATGCTGAGCAAAAAAAAAAAAAAGCAAAGGGTCATCACCTTGAAGATGGAGGGATGGATATCATCCACTATAATTTCATTCAAGTCAGGATCCCCGACTGGTCCAAAGAACTGGGCTCTGAAAAATGATGACCGTGCAGCGAGGATCGACTTATGAGCTCTGAACGTCTTGTGGCCAACACGAAACACTAAGTCGAAACCGAGCTGAGATTCCAGTAGTGCTTTCAGACCCTGGCCCAGATTGGAGCTGGGTACCGCGATGGAATCCTGCTTGGCGACTTCAACTTCGAGCCGAGTTGTGACAACTCCAACATTGGCACGAATGATGAGGCAATCGTCCTTTAGACAAGTTGAGGATTCCAATCTTGCTTTCCGGGAGTAAAAACCCCTGCGCATGGCAACAATGGACTAGATGATCAATAGGGTTGTGTAAGCCTGCCCTAAACACCCACCGCGATCCGACCCGATCTGATATGACCTACTCGTGATCAGTTTGTTTATCGAATCAGTTTAGAATCAAGTCATCTTTTGATTTTATAAGGGCCAGATAAGGTCGGGTCAATATAGGACATGTCACTTTTTTTGTCCAATGAATTGAATTGAGACATAGCAAGGTGTAAAATTGAGAGTGGGTTGGGGTGGGTGCCAACAGATCTATTGGTATTTTAAAGGTAAAAGTACTAAAATGCAATATAAAAGTACTAAAATGTAATATTACCATAAAAAATCTCTTAACCTATTTGCAAAAAAAAAAAAAATAAAAAAAAAAATTCAGATACTAAATTATAAAAAAAAATTCAAATATAAAAAATGTAATTTTCAAAAAATCTCTTAACCTAGCCAACCTACTGATAGGATCAAGAAGGAAACAAGAGTAGGGTGCGGATCAGAGCTCTGCTCCGCTCCTAAACACAAACTAACAGAATGAAAGTTATGGGATAGAAAGAAAGCAACAAAAAAATTTACCAATAGCAGCCTTTGCACTTCATTGTCTCGCTCTCCGACGTACGGAGGTGGTTATACGCCATAAGCTTCCCTTCCCCACTCTGATCCAACAGAGTCAACTCAAACAAGGCCCTAACGTCTCTGCCGCCGGAGCTGGCCAAAACAATGGCCACAAGAACGGATGGAACGCCGTCGGAGGGATGGTATTCATCGGGGCAAAACTTAATCTGCCAATCATAACCACCGGCCGAGAAGATGTCACTGTACACATACTTGTCACGTCCCATACCTTTCAACAGAGAGTAACCCTTTACGGTGAACCGGCTCGACCCGGTCACCGGCTCGGTCACGGACCTGGAGGAGCAACTCCTCCTCCTTGGATCTTTCTCCAGGCCCGCCATGGTTCAATGAACTACGCGTAGTTGTGTAGCCAGACTTTAGGGGAATCAACGATATGGCTAAACCGGAAGACCGTCTGAATCTCCCCCTAATTCCTCTGCCGCGGCGGCGGCTTCCCGATATCTCTATAAGACTAGCTACAACCCTTCTTATATATCTATAGTGAAAGCTGCTGTTTTTTCGTCGACTAATTATCTACCTGGAAACCCTTTTAGGGGTTTTTTTTTAATAAAGAAAACCCTTATTTTCTGTATCTAAAAGAAATAATTATAGGGAGAAGACAAAACAGCGGAAAAAAAAAACCGCTTCATCCTCTCCCATCTTCGTTCCTCTGTGACGAGTGCGGGCGTGGACATCGCCGTCGTGCAAACTGCCCTAACCGCGCATGGGCCGTCGGAATCGGCCATGGATTCCATGGGGTCTTTAAGTACCCGGTCGATTCAGCCCTTTGCTGGTATGTCCAATCCCGATTACCCTCTTTTCTATCTGGATTTCGGCTCTTTGCGGTCTCCGCTTCTCCTATCTTCAGAACCATGGCGGCCGGAAATGTGGTCCTCTTTGGCGACGCTGATGTAGCCCCAGGGGCAGAGAGGAACGATCTCTCCCTGCTTGGCAAATCATTGGGCCTGCACCTCCAATCCGCCATCTTCTCACTACCCTAAGGGGGCTCTGGGATTGCGACGGCCCGATCTCTATTCTCCCAACGGCGGAAGGGTTGCTGCAATTTGTATTCCCCAATGAGGGAGATATGAGCAGTGTTCTTCGTATGGCACCGTGGATCCTTCCCAAATTCATGATCAATCTGGCGCCATGGGTGGCGGTTTCCCCTGACGTAGCAGACCAACTGTGGAGAGTGCCTCTCTTTCTTCAGTTCTGGGAAGTTCCAACAGCCTGTTGCTCCCAACGCATGGCTACCCTCCTCGGCGGTTACCTGGGTAAAACAGATCCCGGCTTTGTTCATCGCGTGAGAGGCACCTCGGAGATTTATCTTCGGGCTCGAGTCTGGCTCGACTCCCGCCTCCCACTTCCGGTCTCTGTTCCGGCGTCTCATGAGAGGGCAGGCCAATGTGAGTTCACTGCTTTGGTCCAGTATGAAAAACTCTCACAGTTCTGCTTTCTATGTGGTGTCCTGGGCCATATTGGGCAGCAATGCCCTCGCAGGGAAGAGCTTGCTGGCACAAATCCTCCATATACCCGTCGTTTGATCTCCAAAAAGTTTGGCTCCAAAGTCAATGAGAGAAGCCTGTTGGGACGTCGTCAAATGACGTGGGTTCGCAAAGAGAGGGACCTCCTTCCACAACTCGGCCTAAGGTCTCCCGTCTCGGCGCCCGTTGCAAGTCTGGGCTCCTCCTCAACTGCAGAGGCGGAGATCCGGGGACGGCCTGCTCCGACTGACATTGTCCTTCTCAACCCGGAACCCAAAAAACAGAAGCTTGAGGACAACCAACTTGTTCAGGATCAAGGAATCAAGGATGCGGTGGTGGCAACCAGCCCGGACTGGTCCCGCCGTGATAGATGAGCTTCCTCGCCTGGAATTGTCGAGGACTTGGCTCCACCTTGACAATTCCGTCGCTGTTTGGAGCTATTTCTCGTTTCTCTCCTTCGATTATTTGCTTGAGTGAGACGAAACGGGATGATGACTTTGTGCATAAGAAACTTAATCGGTTAGGGTATGTAGTACGTAGCTGTGTGTCTCCTGTTGGTAGGTCTGGCGGTTTGGTGTTGGCCAGCGCCCCTAGTGTTCAATGTAGTGTGATAGGAGAATCTTCCTTCTTTATCCAGGTTGAGATTCAGCTGTTAGTTTGGGGAAGTATTACCCTCTTCTTTGTTCATCTCAGTTGCGATGTAAATATGCGTCTTTCTCAGTTTAATGAACTAGTAGTGTTGATTCAGTCGTGTTCAGCACCTACTCTTGTACTCGGTGACTTTAACTGTCTGCTGTATGCGTCTGAAAAGCAGGGTGGTCGCCCACCTTCATTTGCTAGCATGGATTATTTCCATTCCTTTATTGATGCGGCTGGTTTGTTGGACTTAGGCTTCAGAGGCCCCCCGTTCACTTGGTCCAATCGGCAGGGCCTCTCTAATCATATTCTTGAACGCCTTGATTGTGGTTTAGGCTCTGATCTAATCTTTCATGTTTGGCCGAATGTGCAGGTCTCTCATTTGACTGACCTTGGTTCTGATCACAGGATGCTCCTCCTACAATTAATTCTCGGGTCGGGGAAAGGTAAGCCAAGGTTCGTATTTGACATGAGATGGAAGACTAATGATGAAGCTAGGACCATAGTCATTCAATCGTGGCAAGAAACAGTGGCTGGTACACCACAGTTTCAACTGTTCTCCTTGCTCAAAATAGCTCGGCATCGATTTGTGGATTGGGCGCGCCGGGGTACCACCAACTCAGCAAGGCAGATTAGGGAACTTCGTCAAGCTATCGAGGATGAGAGGGAGAGGGCTGCTGTCGACTGGGCTATCATTGAAGGTTTGGAAGCTCAGCTCGCGGTGGCGTACCGACAAGAAGAAGTTTACTGGAAACAAAAATCAAGGAATAATTGGCTACACTTCGGGGATGCAAATACAGGTTACTTTCACGCAACGGCTGCCCAGAGGCGGAGACAAAACCAGATTGATCTCCTGCGAGATGACACGGGTGATAGTCACTTTGAGGAATCTGCCAAAGGTAATGTCTCTGTCACTTACTTTCAAACACTGTTTGCATCTAATGGGAATCCATTCCACTTCTTAGTGGCTGCACTGGGTCTCTCGAGGAAGGTAAGTTCAGAGCAGAATGATTTTCTCACTAACCCCGTTTCCCGAGAGGAGATAAAACAGGTTGTTTTCAACATTGGGGCGTCCCAAGCACCAGGATCCGACGGGTTCACAGCAGCGTTCTTCCAAGGGTATTGGGACATTGTTGGTAATTCGGTTTGTGTGGCAGCATTGTCTTTTTTTAGATCGGGTAGGCTTTTGCGTAATTTTAATCACACGCTGATCACCTTGATTCCTAAGGTTCCTAATGCAGATTCCATGAGACAGATGAGACCAATAGGGCTGTGTCAGGTATTTTACAAGATCATCTCCAAGGTCTTGTCGTCCCAGTTGAGTCAGGTGCTTCCTTCGGTGGTGACGGATTGCCAGACCGGGTTTATCAAAGGGCGTGACATCTCAGATAACATCCTCATTGCACAGGAAGCAATGCACTTTCTCAAAACGAAAACTGAAGGTCGGGACAAATGGATGGCATTGAAGCTAGACATGGAGAAAGCGTACGATCGAGTCGAGTGGGGTTTTCTATTTGCTATTTTGGAGTCGCTGGGCTTTGCGTCGGGGTGGATTAAGCTTATCAGGGCCTGTGTCACGTCTGTTACCTTTTCGGTTATTCTTAATGGCAACGTGCATGGCTACTTCCGTCCGGAAAGAGGTATCCGCCAAGGTGACCCACTCTCCCCCTTGCTCTTTGCAATTTATACAGAAGCTTTTTCCACTATGATTTCTAATGCCCTTGCTGCCCAGCAACTTCATGGTTTGAAAATTCATCGATTAGCTCCAGTTACTTCGCATTTGTTATTTGCTGACGATACGTATTTTTTTCTGCGAGCCTCTTCCTCGGAATGCAGCCATCTACTGCAAATGTTTGAGGTTTATGAAGCTGCAAGTGGTCAGAAAATTAATTTGCAGAAGTCAAAAGTGTGCTTAGTGCTAATGTTTCAACTCAGGAAGCTGAGGCGCTGGCAGCTAGGTTGGGAGTGGATTCTATTGGTGCACTGGATAAGTATCTTGGACTTCCTGCTCAGATTCAGCGGTTTAAAGTCCAGACTTTTAGATTTGTCGAAGAGGCACTAACGAAGAGGATCCAGAGTTGGAAAAACAAATCTCTTTCCCTTGCAGCAAAGGAGGTGGTTATCAAATCAATCGGGTCAGCCACTCCGGTGTATGCGATGATGTCATTCCGTCTACCCTCCACGACGTGTCGAAGGATGAATGGTAAACTTTCCAAATTCTGGTGGGCAAGTCAGGATAAGGAAAAAGGAATCCATTAGATATCATGGACAGCTATATGTGTCAGTAAGTTTCGTGGAGGGCTTGGTTTCCGAGACTTCGACCTATTCAATGTGGCCATGTTGGCAAAGCAAGCCTGGAAGCTCCTCCTATCCCCTCAGTCTACTTTGGCTCGGATGTACAAGGCCAGGTATCATCCTCATTGCGATTTTCTTTCTGCAACAGTCGGGACTCGACCATCTTGGGCATGGCAAGGGGTGCTGGAAGGGCGTAGACTTCTTCAAAAGGGGCTTCGATGGCATGTAGGGTGCGGTACAGCCATTCACATCTTGGAGGACAACTGGCTTCCCTCCTCCCCACCTTCCTCTCTTTCCCTTCTTCCTGGAGTTCAGCTTGGCAACCCTTTTGTGGCGACGCTGATCCATCCGATTTCTAGGACATGGAATTCTGATATGATTAGATCTTTGTTCACGTCTGCGAGTGTTAAGCTTATTTTGGCTATTCCTTTGCCTGCTTCTCCCAGGCCTGACAAACTGATCTGGCATTACTCTGATACAGGTCTATACACTGTCAAGACGGGATACCACTTGCTCTCAGACGCGAGATCGGAGATGTTCAACACCCTACCTGCTCATCTTGATGCTAGATTTTGGAAAACCTTGTGGAGTCTTCCTATCCCACCAAAATTGAAATTTTTCTTGTGGCGGGTCGTTCGGGGTTTCCTGCCCTGTTTGGATGTGCTGCTAAACAAGTCCCTTGCTGAGTCGGCTTCTTCCCCTGTTTGTTCTGCAGGAAACGAAACCATTGTGCACTGTTTATTTGATTGCAGGGTGGCTAGAGAGGTTTGAGAGCTTGCTGCGCAAGGCCATGTTCGAAGGATCTTAGCAGGTTTGTCTCCGGATTTGGGTTGGGCTCATGTATTTAATTCGATGCAGTTATCCAAAGTCGCTATTGCGGAGCTGGTGTTTATCACTTGGCGAGTATGGAAGGCACGATGCTGGTC